AAAGCACTGTGAGTGAAGGTAGTTGGGGTTAGCTGCAGGGTGAGGCTGTTTATTTTGTTTTATTTTGTTGAGGGGGGAGGAGGTTTTATTTCAATTTTATGGGCTCCTTTCCCCCTTTTTATGATGATCTAATCACATTGGTTAAAAGCAGCTAGCCATTCTTTAGAATATGCTGTAGCCAATTCTAGCTGTATTTAGACGCTGTAGATGGACAAGCTTGATTGTTTGAACCAAAATGGGAACGTTGAACAAACATCATAGCCCTCACTCTGCTGTCAAGTGTAGACCCCTTCGAAAGAAGCTTGTGACTGTTTTGTATGGCTTGTCTGGAAACTTCTGTAAATCTTGTGTTTTAGTAAAATACTTTTTGTTATTCTAAAAAAAAAAAAAACTATAGTTTTTTCTTTAAACATTGATTTTATATATTTATTTATTTATTTAAAATGCTTATTTTATTTTGTTATTGTTATTTTTTAATTTGACGAGAGAAGGAGAGAGAAATAGAAAGTGAGAGAGCATGCTGCCAGGTCCGAACCTCAAACTGTAGTCAGCCATGTGGGAGTCCAGCACCTTAACTACCACACCACCTGCTGGCCCCTTCAAATATATTTTTTAAGAGAGATTTTTACAATAGGGTACATGTACTCACCAGAGAGAGAGACAGAAAGCAAGAAACCGCCCCCCAGGAGGGATGGCCATGCCACAATCCATTCTCTTCCATTCTCTTCTCAGGATTTTGGGCATGCACCTACATATATATAGCATGGATTTTAAGCTGCCAGGTCCAGTACTCGAACCGTGGTTGACTACATGGGAGTCCAGCAACATAACCATTACACCATCTGGCCCCTAAATATTTTAAAAGTATTTTAAAGCAATACTTTTATTAACTTTGAAAAGACACACTTGTGGTAGCTTCTTTCCTGTTAGGCATCTTGTTTGTTGTTTAAACATATTTTAAAGGAAAACTTTTTAAAAATAATGTTTCTTCTGTAATATAATGAAAACTTATGCATAACGTATGAGGTGGGAGGGTGGCACAGTGATATGATACTCTGAGAGACCAACCCAATTGGGAAGGTTCTGGATTCGCCTCTGGAGACCTCCCTGAGTATGCCAGGGACACATACCTGACTGGCTGAGGCCAGGATGGACAGAAATATCACTCTCCTGTGAGGGTTCTGTCTTTTTCTCTCTGTCTCTCTCTTGCTCATGGATAAAGTACAGTTGTTTAAATTGTACAGTAAGAAAGCCAGCAGGTGACATGGTGGTAAAGGTGCTAGACTCTCACATGGCTAACCATGGTTTAAGTCTTGGACCTGATGGCTTGAAAATCACACAAGGCACATGTGCATGCATGCTCAAAATCCTGAGGGGGACCAGCAGTTAGCGTAATGGCTATGTCACTGGACTCCCACGTAGTCGACCGCGGTTCGTGTCCCGGACCCGGTGGTTTAAAACTCACACCGGGCGTGTGTGCGTGCGTGCCCAAGATCCCGAGAGGAGAATGGAGGAGAAGGGATTGCGGCGTGACCATCCCCCATGGGGGGGTGATTTCTCACTTTCTATCTCTCTGTCTCTCTCTCTCTGTCTGGCGAGCACACGCACCTTACAGCAAAAACCTCTCAAAAAAAAAAAAAATCCTGAGGGGACATGCAGGAGAAGTGATTACAGCATGGCTATGCTCCCTGGGGGGCAATTTCTCACTTTCTCTCTCTCTGGGAGAATCATATATGCTCTGTGGATAAAACCTAAAAAAAAAATCTGTGTGTGTGTTTGTGTGTGTGTGTGTGTGTGTGTAGAGAGAGAGGAAGGGTAAAGGGGAAAAAATGAGTAGTAGTAAGAGCAACAATACATTTTGTGCCAAAAGTCAAATTCTGCACCCGGTTCGTCCCCAGCAGAGGTTAGAGTGATTCAGGTGAGTGTGAGAGGTGCCCAAGACAACCACGCAAGTTCACAGAGCAACAGCAGCCGTCTGGCCAAAAACAGTAGCGAAGCCAACTCCTTATGAGACTAAGCATTTTACCTAACATGTAGTCATCACTTATCTGAAAATCTGCATTAAATGCAAATGTGTAAATGTCCATACCTTTTTTTAAGAATTACTTTATTTAACTTCGTTTGTTTGTTTTCATTCTTAATTTGACCAAAGAGGGACAGAGTAAGAATGAGAGAGAGAGAAAGAAAGTGAAGCAAGCTGCCAGGTTTGACACTCGAACTGTGGTCGGCCATGTGGGAGTCCTGTGCCCCCAACTACCACGCCACCCACTGGCCCCTGTCCATACCTTTTAATCAGGGGCAGCCTCAGAATAAGCAGATGTCAGTGACATCAAGCAACAAGGACTGTGTATTTGAGGGGTATTTCTCAAAGATAGCTGCAAGAGGTCTAGTTCCTTGGGATGTTGTTAGTGATCCCACCACAGAGGGCTTTGTGTTTATAAGTGGAACTGGTTTCACGGGATGTTACGAGTGTCTCTGTACAGAGCTTTCTAAGACTGCTCCCGTCCTAGTCCCAGTAGCAGCATATGACAGCATGTCCTGCCCAGCCTCCAACGTGCTATGCACAGCACCTAACTGACCACAGAATCCTGTCTTTGTGGGTAGACTCTGTAGAATATTTTTTGGGAAACTCCCAAGAATTTAGCAGAATTGATATGTACACTATTGCTCTCTGGAAAGGGTGTCTTGTTTTTCCACTCTGTACAAATGAGAAAGTTGTTTTGTCTTCATCTTTTTTTTTTTTTAAGAATTATTTTATCTAGGGCCAGCAGTTGCCATAATGGCTATGTCGCTGGGCTCCCATGTAGTCAACCACAGTTCTAGGCCTGGACCCAATGGCTTAAACACATACTGGGCATGTGTGCGTGCGTGCCCAAGATCCCGAGAGGAGAATGGATGAGAAGGGGTTGTGGCGGGGGGTTATTTCTTGCTTTCTATCTCTCTGTCTCTCTCTGTCTTAATGGCAAGCACACACGCCCTATAGCAAAAACCTCTCCAAAAAAAGAAAGAAAGAAAGAAAGAAAGAAAGAAAGAAAGAAAGAAAGAAAGAAAGAAAGAAAGAAAGAAAGAAAGGAAGAAAGAACTATTTTATTTAACTTTATTTATTTATTTATGTTAATTTGACCAGAGAGAGACAGAGTGAGAAAGAGAGAGGAAAAGTGAGAAAGCAAGCTACCAGGTCCAGGACTCAAACCACGGCCAACTATGTGGGAGCCTAGTGCCCCCAAACACCATGCCACCTGCCGGCCCCTGTCATTATCTTTTATCATACTCTTAATTTTTTTGTTTGCTATGGGGCACTTGCACTTTCTGGAGACAGAGAGACCTAAGAGATTATCCCTAGGGGAGATGGCCATGCTGTAATCTCTTTCCTCCCATTCTCCTCTCAGGATTTTGGGCATGCACACACTTGCCTGGTGTGTTTTGCAGGACGTCACATCTAGGACTTGAACCGAACAGCTGGGAATATGGGATCCAGCCACCTTAACTTTCATGCTACCTGTTAACTCTTACCCTTACCTTTTATTGACTCTTACTTCTACTGTCTTCTTTCACAAAGTAACTGTGGATTATAGTCCTGTCTTAAATTGATTTTTGAGCAGACACCAGCACGGAAGTTCATGGTTTTCCAGCCTGTGGCAACACTAGCACTGCAGTAACAAGCAGGCGATGGGGTGGGCTTGCTCCAACCAAAGGCCCAGCAGCTGTTTCATTTTTCCCACTCCTCACAGTAACACCACAATGGTACTGACCTCTCCCAACTTTAAAGAAGGGGAAACACAAGGCACAAGAATTAGGTGATTTTTCTTAAGATCTCCAGTGTGGAAAAGGCCAGGAACTAGAGTGAGGCAGGGCCCCATCTGAGGCCCACACCCTTAAAAAGGGGTTTGAGAAGGGGTAGGCAGGTGGCATGATGGTTAAGGCGTTGGACTCCCACATGGCCAACCACTGTTCGAGTTCCAAACTCAGTGGCTTGAAAATCACACCGGGCGTGTGTGTATGTGCATGCCTAAAATCCCAGGAGGAGAATGGAGGAGAAGGGGTTGCAGCATAGCCATCCCCCCATGGAATGGTTTCTCACTTTTCCTGTATTTCTCTGTGGCTTTCTCTTCACTGGTGAGCACAGACACCCTATGGCAAAAACCTTAAAATAAAAGTTAAATAAAGGGAGTTTGAGGAAGGGCCATGTCTGTCTTGCTTTTGAGAGCCATGTATGTAGAATCATACAACATCTGTTCTTTTGCATCTGGCTGTGTTTTTTATTTTTGGTACTTTTTTATTATATAAGTAATATATATCTTGGAAAGAAATAGAAAGCACATAATCCAAAGGAAGAAAGTGAATATTCAAGTTCTACTCAGATAACCACTAAAAACATTGTTTTGTTTTGTTTTTTATGAGAAAGTGCAGGAAGGGGAGAGTCAAGCATACTGTCACTATGTCATGGTCCTCCAGCTCCAGGCCTCTAGCCAGCCAGCATCACAGCCCCAGCCTGTTCAGAATGGGCCACCTCTCGCATGGCCTGTCAGTGAACAGCAGCACCCTCCCCCCTGCACTGTCACGCTGGGCCCCTGAGAGCATTTTTGTCTCTTTGTGCTCTCTTTTCCTTGGGTTGAATTTTAATGGGAGCACTATAGACATATGCGTGACAAGGGTCATTCTAATGCATTGCCTCTTTCCTCTTAGCAAGGTATCATGAACTCATTCCCATGTCCGTAAGTATTTCTATGCAGCCACTTCACTGACCGTGTGGTCCTTCTTTATGGGGGTGGATCATAGTTTAACAAACACTCCTTTTCTCGAACAGTTGGGCCCGTGTGTGTGTGTCTGTCTACCTGTGTACCCTCTGAATTCTCCACCTGGATTGCCGTGGAGCCTGGATTTTAGCCCCTTGGCATTGGGGATGGTGTTTGCTGGGTGTGTGACCAGCTCGCTGACCAGGCACTCTATAGGTGACATTTGATGGTGACTGCCTTTGATACTGTTGTCTCTTCTTCCAGGACAGCAGGGCTATTCAGTTTGATTGACACCATGTGGCCCCCAGCTGTGCCTCTGAAAGCGCCAGGCCGCAGCCAACCCTGTGAAGAGGTAAGGCCAGTATCAGAAAGACTTCCTGCCTGGTGCCAAGCCAAACCTCCTCACCCCTGCTGCATAGGCTACATCCCTGCAGTGCCATGGGGACTGTGCAGCTAGCCACTCCTGTCTGCGGTGACACATGGACATGACCCAGAACAGACCCAGAGCCCAGGCCCTCGCTGCTCTCCTTCCATGTGGCCTCATTGATGAAGGTTTAAACCATAGTCATCATACCTCACCACAGATAGGGCTGTCACCTTGGGCTAGACAAACACACAGTGCATTTCCCACCACCTTCCTCTCTCACGGGCTCACACTTGGCTCCCAGCTAGGGCAGGAACTCGCCCTCACCGGAGCATCTGTACCATCCTCTGGAGCCTGGACTCTGTCATCTCACCCTACTAGCTTGTCTCAGGAGTGACTCACAAGCAGGTGAATGGATGAAAGGTGCCCCCCCCCAATGCTCCTGAGCCCTTTCCTGTGCTGACCAGTGGGGCGCCAGGCCATAACCCCCTTCTTAGTTTATTACTGTGTTGTCAGATAGAAACTCCTGAGACTGGGTGGTTTATAAAGGATACAGGTTTGCTAAGCTCACAATTCCAGTGGCTGGAAAGCCCAGGAGCATGAGCCTACTATCTAGCCAGCCTCTGGTGCTGGCCCCAACATGGCCCAGAGAAGCTGCCAGGTCATCAGCCATTTGCAGAGAGAAGGGCAGGCACTAGAGACAGGGAGGGAGAGGAAGAGGAAACAGACTTTTTCACTTCCCGCCTGTCCCTCCCACATTCCCAAATGGATTGGATGATGCCTGCCCACTAGCCCCACCTCTTAAAGTCTCACCACCTCCTAAGGCCATTACACTAGGGATCAAGCTATTGAACATGAGCCTTTGGGGATGAACCCAAAGCTGAAAACTGGGACTGTCTTATTTATTTAGTAACTGAATTCTTAGCATAGTGCCGAGTCGCTGATACTGTACCAGACAGCATGGTAGTCAAAAATACCCAGCTCTAGGTTATTTAAAATGAAGTCATTTAAATGTTTTCTGTATACTCTGAAGAATAAATTTCTGAAATGAACAGAATCCTAACCTGTTTCTTGGCTTTAACTTTTAAGCAAAGTTCCTTAGCATTTCTTTGATTTATTAAAGCTAAAACTGCTTTTCTTGAAATTAAAAAATATATTTAAAAATACCTATTTAATGACCACAGTAAGCTATATTGCATCAGTCAGGGGTTACTTTACAGTATATTCATTCTACTCAGAGTTTCACGCCTAAAGTCAAACATGTGTTCACAGATATGTATATATTAGCTGAACTTGCTATTGAAAGTAGCTACATTATTTAAGAAATTTTGTGAATCAATAAAATATGAGGAAAAAAAGAATGGAAAACAACTGTAGACACCTGAGATAGTGTGGGAGAAGGGCAGGAAATGGCAGAGGGTGAGAAATAGGGGGGAAATATATATATATATGTATGTATTAAACTAGAAATGGAAAATTATTGATGATAACATGTATGATTAAGCCACTATGCAGTATATTCTGGACGGGAAATCACATTTTGTATGCTGTGACAATACTCAGGAAATGAATGTAAATTAATTAATTATTTAAAAATAAAAACAATTTAATTTCTGAAATGAAATCTTGAATTGGTAATATACTCACAAGGACAGAAGTTCTCACGCCTGACCCAACAGGTAAACAGTGTCACCCGTTACTTATGTAGCCTTCTAGAGTGGACGTCTGTGGACAAACAGGCATGCATTTAAGCCTTGATTTTAATGGTGTATTTGAGTCTTTTAACAACACATCCATTTTTTACGTTTGTCATCACATTAAACAGGTAAAAGCTCACCTGCCTCCTCCTACCTTCTGTTACATCCTCATGGCTCAGCCAAATGTGGGGCGCATTGATGTCACTGAAGAAGACCCCGTTTCTGAGCTTTACCGGCCCCCAGCACCCTGCTGCTTAAGAGATGTGCTTCAGGTAACATCTTGTTCCTAAAACGTTCTTCAAGTTCTTCTGCTCTATCTCTGCGTTTCATGTTATGTTAACCATTCTTTTCCAATGCCTTTCCAGACTGGTGATCTCAGTACCCGCTGCAGTTTCTATGCCACAGTGATTTATCAAAGACCACAGGTAGTATCTCTCTTTCTCTCTCTCTCTCTCTCTCTCTTTCTGTCTGTCTCATAAGGTGTAAGGTGTTATAAATTTGTTCAAGGGTAATCTCTCTTAGAACATAACACGGTGCCAAATGAGAAAAGCCCTTTTGAATTCAGGGAAGCCTGCTCCAGGCCAGAGCAGTGGTGAGTCCATTCCTGTGCAGGTGTGGACTGCCAGCCACTGTGCTAAGCCTTCCCTGGAAGATTCTTAGCCCAGGAATGTTTGTTCTTGACACATAGGCAGGTTGAAGAAAGGAAAGAGAAGCTGGAAACCTGTTAATGGGATGGAAGTGGGAATCTCAGAATGAGCTCAGATACTTCTGGGAACTCCGAGAGCCTTGGCTTCTCAAAGGGCATCCCTGCCATCTCTAAGAGGCTCAAATAGTGAACTATACAACATGGAGGCGGAGGTCAGTATGCCAGAACTGACAAAAAATCCAGTCATCAGCGATAAATTCTTGGTATCAAACTTGGTGTGCACACCTTAAGCCAGTCGCTGTTGGACAGAAGGACTAAGAGTCGCATCTGTGCTGCTTTGAGACTATGACCATGATACAAGAGCTACAGAAGCAAACAGACATGGAGCTGGAACTACTGACTGAGGAAGGGAAAACTGCAGCAGAGCAACGAGAATCTCACATGCCAGATTTATGAAGACATGGACTTGCAGAGGACTCTACTGAAGAGAACAATTCCAGAGAAATGTAGGAAGGTGTCTTTTTAACACTTGACGAGTAGAGGAAGGGGGCTGGTGAAGGAGAAGGTCTGACTCGAGACTAGACAGCAATGTCCTTTGTAAAAGAGGAGAGTAGAGGAAGGGCAGGAGCCAGGCAGGGGTAGGCAGGAAGGCAGCTTCACGCACTGTGTGGACTAGCTAGTGCCTGTCGGATACACATAGCATGTTGAGGTTCAGATACAAAGCATGTTGTATTTCTGTCCCAGAAACAAAAGTCCGAATACATTGTGAATATGCATGAACTACACTGGCCTCTCTTTTTTCGTATTTAGGTTCTTGCCATAGGGCATATGCATTTATCAGAGAGGAGTGGAGAAAGGCAGAGAGGGAAAGTGAGAAGTCACCCCCTCCCCCAAGGTGATGGGCACATCTCAATCCTTTATTTTCCTCTTGGGATTTTGGGCGCACACACACACACACACACACACACACACACACACACACACACATGCCCAGCGTGATTTTTAAGCCACTAGGTCCCAAACTTGAATTGCAGTCATTTGAGAATCCAGTGTCTTAACGCACACGCCACCTTCTGGCCCCTGCACTGGCTTCTTACTGTTCATTGTCTGTATTTTGCCATCTTTAATTTCTGTGCAGGATTTTTCAGTTTTCCAAATGGTTATCACATAGACTTTTTTCTTTTCTTTTTTTTCTTTTTTTTTTTTTGGCAGAGAGAGCATGTGCTCACTGGACATAGAGAAATAAGTAAGAGAGAACAAGCACCTCTACAAGGCATGGACTCGCACGCACACACACACACTCCTGGCATGTTTATCAAGGCACGGGGTCCGGGACACAAACCACAGTCAGCTATGTGGACTCCAGCCACCTCGTGCACCAAGCCCTGAGCAATAGCATCTCCTCAGCAATAGCATCAGCCTTCCACTTCCAGGAGGGGAAGAGTGAGGCTAGGCCTGTTTCTCGGACACATGACCAAGCCCTGTTGCATCTGGCTCAGGTTTCCTAAAGTCTGCTCAGCCCAGTCACCCGAGATGCCTCTTGATTCCATGGCCCCTCAGTCCCTGGGAGCCCAGGTGGGTGGATGGCAGCAGGGATGCTACATCCCACTGTCACATGCTGACTGAGCTGGATCAGGCTACCTTGAGTTCATTGTCAGATGGGTTTGACATTTTCTTACCATAGTGGGTTATTCTAGGATAAACTTAATGGTTTTTAAGTGCCCCCCCCCATTTCCCTTTATCTTTTAGTCATTTGACAGCTAATTGGTATCTATCCTGAGGCATTAGAGAATGATTAACATTAGTCATTGAACGGTGTCCTTCACAGCCATCCCAGTGCCCAGCAAAAGCAAGATCTGAGCCCAGGATGTCTCTGACCTTCCAAATCTGAGGGCACCCACAAGCTGCCAGCAGGCTTTGCCCATCCTCAGAGCACTTGGTGTGTGAAGATGCACTCGGCATCTGGCACTCACCTCTAATTCCAGAACACATTCCAGTTCTGGGGCCAGGCAGGGGCTTGCTCTGCCCAGGCCAGTCACTGCAAGTAGAAGGGTGTCCTTGGGCACACAGCGTATGGCTATTCCAGCACATGCTTCATCCGGCCCTCCTGCCGCAACCAGAGATTGACATGAAGAAGGCAGGTGTCGAATGTTCCACATACCCAGGTGGAGGAGAGCTCTGGGGTAATAATAAAGACAGACTGAGTCATATGCCTCTCAGGTGGAGGGACCCTACCTTGGGCTGGGGAAGATCCACGATCTTCTAACTACAGATAGTTTCAGTCACACACAAAACAATCCTCACTGTAGAAAGATGCCATTAAAATAGTGACTCTAGCCAAAACATAATCCCAAAGTCAGGCCTTGAGAGGTAAAAGATAATTTCCAGAGATAATCTCCACCCAATTGTGAAATACAAGGAAACCACTTCAGACAGAATTCACATTTCTGTAATCAACCAAATTTCATAGTAGAGAAATACTATAAGTGTAATATGTGTGAGAAAACCTTTATTAATGCCTCATTCTTTTATAACATGAGAAAAACCATAATGGAGAGAAATTATTTAAATGTAAAGAATGTTTGAAAGTGTTAAGCCAAAGTTCTGCTCTTATTCAACCTCAAATAACTAATATAGAGAGAAGCCTTGCATGTGGGAAAGCCTTCACTCTTAGTATATTCATTTATAAACTTTTTTTAAAAGAATTTTTTATTTAATTTTATTTAGTAGTATTATTATCATCATTTTTAAATTTGCTGTAGGGTATGTGTGTTCACAAGAGAGAGGAAAGGTGAGAAAGCAAGTTTCCAGGTCCGGGACTCAAACTGCAGTCAGCCATGTGGTAGTCCAGCACCTTTACCACCATGTCACCTGCTGACCCCAAGCCTTCATAAACCCCTAAGAACCCATACTGTGGAGAAATACTATAGATGTGATAAATTCTTCAGCCAAAGGTCAGGCCTTTTTTTGAAAGAATTATTTCATATAATATTTGTTTGTTTGTTTGTTTGTTTTAATTTGACCAGAGAGGGACAGAGTGAGAGAGAAATGGAAAGTGAGAAAGCAAGCCACCCAGTCTGATGTTTGAACTGCTGTCTGCCATGTAGGAGTTCAGCACCCTTCACAATGCCATTTGCTGGACCCAGTCAGGCCTTTTTATACATTAAAAAAATCCATGCTGGATGGGGCCAGCAAGTGACTTGATGATTAAGATGCTGGACTCCCACATGGTTAAGCACAGTTTGAGTCCCAGACCCAGCAGCTTGAAAATCATGTGTGTGTGTGTGTGTGTGTGCGCGCGCGCATGTGTGCGCATGCCCAAAATCCATGGAGGAGAAGTGATTGCAGCGTTGCTATCTTCCCTGGGGTGTGATTTCTCATTTTCCCTCTCACTGTCTCTCTCTGGCAAGCATGTGTACCCTATGACAAAAAAATTATTTTTTTTAAATGCATGCTGGAGAAAACCCTTATAAATAAATCCAAGTAGAAAGGCACAGTCCTTCCCAGATGTCAAGGAATTCATTCCAGAAAGAAGACCTCTATTTATGTAATGAAGGTGGCAACACCTTAAGTCTAGCTCATCCCAGAGAGGAAACTTTTAAGTGCAGTGACCATGGCAGAGCCTTCAGTCAGAGTGCATTTCTTATTCAGCATGAAAGAATTCACTCTGGAGAAAAACCATATAGGGTAATCAATGTGAAAAAGCCTTCATTTCTATTTTAAAACTTAATAGATACCAAATAATTCATACTGGAGAGAAGTTTTATAATTGTAATGAATGTGGCAAAGCCTAAAGTTCCCACTCCACACTTACTGTTCATGAGAGAATTCATACTGGCGAGAAACCATGTAAATGTAAAGTTTGTGGGAAAGCCTTCAGACAAAGCTCAGCTCTCATTCAGCATCAGAGAATGCTCTGAACACTCTATATATGTAATACCTGGGGAAAACGTTCAGATGTAACTTATCTCTGTAATCAGCAAGAAGTTATACTGGAGAAAAACCATGTCCATGTAAGGAATGTGGGATCTTGTTTGGCCAGAATTCAGCTCTTATTCAACATCAAAGGATTCATAAAGGAAGGAAGTCCTCTAAATGTAATATATGTTGGAAAACTTAAACAAAGCTCATTGCGCATCGCCCATCAGAGAATTCATACTGGAGAGAAACCATATGAATGTAACACATGTGGGAGACTCTTCTATTACAGATGATCACTTACTAATCACCTTAAAATCCACTTTCAAGAGAACCCCTTGCATGTGTGAAAGTCTTAAACCAAAACTCATCAGAGAATACATGGTAACTGTAATGGATGTGAAAACCCTGTGACAGTTCAGTCTTCATCAGATGGTTAAAGTTCACAGATAAACCTTGACTGTGTAATAGATAAGAGGAAAGTGTTCATGCCTGTCAGACACTTTTTAAAATAACCTGAGATGAAGAATTTACAACGAGAGGGGCCAGCAGGTGGCATGGTGGTTAAGGCACTGGACTCCCACATGGCCTACTGTGGTTTGAGTCCTGGACCTGGCAGTTTGCTCACTCGCTTGCTCACTCACTCTCTGGTGAGCACACATGCCATATAACAAATTAAAAATAATAATAATAATAAAAGTAAAGTAATTCTTTTTTTTTTTTTTTGAGAGGTTTTTCACTATAGGGCGCGTGTGCTCGCCAGACAGAGAGAAACATAGAAACAGAAAGCGAGAAATCACCCCCCGGGGGGATGCTCATGCCACAGTCCCTTCTCCTCCATTCTCCTCTCAGGATCTTGGGCACGCACGCACACACGCCCGGCATGAGTGTTAAGCCACTGAGTCCGGGACGCGAACTGCAGTCACCTACGTGGGAGTCCAGCGACATAGCCATTACACTAGCTGCTGGTTCCCAAGTAAAGTAATTCTTTTTTAAAAAAGAAGTCAAAACTAGAGACATTGGCTTTGGGCATTTGTACAGTAAATATGTTTGTTTTACTTCTTTCTACAGCAATCCATGCTGAATATGTGTGAGCATTATAAGCATTGCATGGATGGGTAGGCATGTTCTGGATTTCGTATTTGAAAAACATCAAACTGTATTCATTGGTGATATTTTTTATAACTAACATCTTAATGAAAGAATTAAATTTTACATTTCATTACATTTTAAGGAAAGAACTGATCAAAGAAATTACACATTTTTAGAAAAAAGGACCAAAATAAAAGTTAAAAAATAAACTGTAAAGTACGTCTCAGTCTTTGCGGTTTGTCTTTTCCTGCCCTTATGTCAAGCATGAATTGCATTAAAAAAATGAAAAAAAAATCTTCTGACAATCTTCAGAAATTTTAGATGTTCTTAGAAATACCCTGATTTCGCCTATGCTCTCAATCTACTGATGAACCAAAATGTTCCAGTTTCCTTTGGAAGTAACTCTCAAAATCTTTCCTGTTAAGAGTTATGAACAAAGTTGATAACAACAAAATCTTCTGTAAGAAGACATCAATAACCACGTAATTTAAAGAAGTATTACCAATTTATTACTAAAATTGTATTAAAAATAGATCTCTTCTTCTTTGTAACTGCCAAAATTCTGAAACAGCCAAGATGTCCCTCAGTAGCCCCCTCTTCCTGGTCCTGCTGACCAGCCATGCAGAATCCTCAGCCTGACCATGCCATCCATGCCAGTGACACCAATTGAACATTAAGTAACTGAATCCTCAGACCCCAGCCATGCTGAACACTCTAGGCCCCTCTGCATCTATGGAACCCTAAACCCTGAGTGAGGGGAAGGAGCAGATCACCAGTTTCATGGAAAGCAAAAAGGCATAACCCCTTCTACAGATATAAAAAAATGAAAAAAATATAGTAAAAGGAAAGAAGAAATAAAATTAAAAACTGTTGCAGGTCCAACAAACATGTGACACCTGATGTATACCAAGGCCGTGCATGAAGTCTGAGAATGAAGAGATGTATTCCTGACCCCTTAGGAAATTCACAGCTACAGGAGAGAAAAGGTGCATGCCCTAGACAGAAAATACTGTGGTAGTTAGCGTCCCAGGTGTGTACTCCAGGAGCAGGAGGAAAAGAAAAATGGATTCTATGTGAATAGCCAGAGAACAAGTAGAACACTGCCAGGGAAGGTAGGTGGGACCTGACACAGGGGTCTTCAAAACAGGCGCACATGGGTACAGATGTGTCGACAGGAGCTAGTGACCAATGTGCAAAGTCTATTATATGTTTGTTTTTTGTCGGGGGGGTTTGGAGAGATTTTTGCTATAATAGTGTACATGCACTCACCAGAGAGACAAAGCAAGTAACCAGCCCCCAAGGGGGATGGCCACATCACAATCCCTTATCTATTCTTCTCAGGGTTTTGGGCGCGCACGTACATGCACATGCACCAGGCGTGAGTATTAAGCTGCTGGGTCCAGGACTCGAACTGCAATCAATCCATGGGAGTCCATCAACATAACCATTACACCACCTGTTGGTCCCTCTATTAGGGATCACTGTTTTCTATCTTGGGTTACCGACAGACATAAGCATGTTCTTGGTTACATTGCTGAACTCCCTCATGGCCAGCCACAGTTAGAGTTCCAGATCCGGAGGCTTGAAACATGCTGGGCACATATGTGTGCATACCCAAAATCCTGAGCGAAGAATGGAGGAGAAGGGATTGCAGCATGGCCACCCCCCAGAGGGTGATTTCTTTCTGTCTCTGATTCTTAGCAAGTACATGCACCCTATAACAAAAATATCTCTTGAAATAATATCTTGTTAGTGTTAATAATAGTCCTCTAAAATTATTGTCTTTAAAAATTAACTTTGAATACAAGTGAGGAGAGAATGGGAAAATATATTCAAAGTGTTACGAGAGAAGCAATTTCAGCTAAGAATACTGTACCCGGCAAGATTATCTTTCAGGTGGGAAGAAAAGACAAGAACATTCTCAGATAAACAAAACCTGAAAGAATTTACCGGCACCAGACCAGAGCTCCAAGAAGTTCTCAAGGGTGTCCTGTAT